CTTTTCTGCAAAACCAGAATTCTTAATATCATTTATAATCTCTTTCTCCATGTTATTTCTGGTTCCTCCAAATCGCAAAATTTGTTCACTAATTCTTGTCTCTTTGTTGACAAGATCAATTTCCATTTCTTCGTATGCTTTTTCTATTTTTTCATCTAATTTCTTTAATTGTTCGTCAAATTCATTTTCTTTTTCTTTATATTCGTTATTGAGAGCTTCATAATCACTATTTGCATTTTTACTTTTTTTTGATAGTTTATCCAATTTATTCAATCTATTTATATAATTTCTTTCTTGATTATCCCATGCATTCATAAGATTTTGTTTTTCATCCAAGAGATCATAGTATGGATATCTAATTCCTTCATCGTATGTTTTCTTTGCAACATCCGAATATCCTTCGGTGTTGATTGGATATAATTTTTTTCTCAACGAATTGCATTTTCGTACTTGATCAAAAAATTTTCTCTTAAGTTCATCTATTCGAGCATCAGCTTCACTTTTTTTTTTAGCCATTCTTTCTGTCATCATTTGTATTTGTTGTTCTAATCGTTCTCTGGACTTTCTTTCTTCTTCATCCAACTGTTGATTAAAATATCTTTGATGTTCTTCTAATTGTTCTCTGGCAAATTTTTGTTGATCTTCTAATTGTTTTTTGGCTAATCTTTGTTCTTCCTCAAATTTTTCTTGTTGAGCTAATCTTTCTTCATCGGCTATTCTTTTCTGTTCAGCCAATTTTTGTTTCATCGATTTTTCTTGTTCAGCCAATTTTGATTCCATCAAATTTTGTTGTTCTGCCAATTTTTCATTCATTAAATTTTCTAGTTGGGCTATTTTTTCTTTCATTTTTCTTCGTTGTTCTTCTAATTCTTCTGCTGATTTTTGTTGTTCATCAAATTCTTTTTTCAACGATTCTTCTTTTTCGGTAAATTGCTTTTGTGTTGCTAATTGTTCATCAATTATTCTTTGTTTTTCTTCTAATTCTTTTTTCATCAATTTTTCTAGATTTTCTATTTTTTCATTCATTATTTTTCGTTGATTTTCCAGTTCATTTTGGGCTGATATTTGTTGTTCGGCTAATTCTGCATCCATTAATTTTTTTTGTTTATCCAATTCTTCAATCATCAATTTTCTTTCTTTGTCTAATTTTTCTTCAGTTATTCTTTGTTGTTCGGCTAGTCTTTCTTTTTCTTGTAATAGTTCATTGGCTAATTTTATTTGTTTTTCTAATCGTTCGTCAGCTAATTTTTGATCTAGGGCAAATTTTTCATTGGCTAATTTTAATTGATCTTCTAATCGTTTGTCAGCTTTTTTTTGTTGTTCGGCTAATTTTACATTCATCAATTCATCTTTTTCAGCCAATTTTTTATTCATCAATTCATCTTTTTCAGCCAATTTTTCATTCATCAAATTTTCTAGATCGGCATATCGTTTATTGGCTAATCTATTTTGTTCTTGTAATCGATCTTCAGCTAATCTTTTTTCATTGACTAGTTTTTCTTTTTCTTCTGATAGTTCACTGGCTAATTTTAGTTGTTTTTCTAATTGTTCTTGTGCAAATTTTTGATGTTTTTCTATCTCTTCTTTAGATAATTTGTCTAGTTTGGATAATCTTCCTTGTTCTTCTAATTGATCTTTCATTAATTTCTCCAGATCATCAAATCGTTTTTTGGCTAATTCATCGTGTTTTTGTAATCGTTCATCAGCTAAATTTTGTTGTTCGGCTAATCTTTGGTCGGCTAATCTTTGTTGCAAGTCTAATTCTTTTTCGGCTAATTCTTTTAGTTCGGCTATTCGTTCTTCAGCTAATCTTTTTTGTTCGGCCAATTGTTCATTCAGCGATTTTTCTTGTTCGGCTAATTTTTCATTCATCAATTTTTCTTGTGCAGCCAATTTTTCATTCATCAAGTTTTCTTGTTCGGCCAATTGTTGTTCGGCTAAGCTTCGTTGTTCTTTTAATTGTTGTTCAGCAAATCTTTCTTGTTCGGCTATTAGTTCTTCAGCTAATCTTGTTTGTTCGGTTAGTATATCTTTTTGTTCTAATAGTTGTCTGACTATTTTTTGTTGTTTGGCTAATTCTTCTTTGGTTAATTTATATTGTGTTTCTATCTCTTCTTTAGATAATTTTTCTTGATTGGTCAATTTTCCTTGTTCGTCTAATTGTTTATTCATTAATTCTTCTAGTTCGGCAAATCGTTCATCGGCTAATCTTTGTTGTTTTTGTAATCGTTCATCGGCTAATCTATATTCTTCGGCTAATTTTTCATCAGTTTCTTTTTTCTGTTGGGCCAATTTATCATTCATCTCTTTTTTTAAATCGGCCAATTTTTTTTTCCATAATTTTTTCTTTTTGTCTAATTTCTCTGTGGCTAATCTTTGCTCCTCGGCTAATTGTTCTTCATATTTTGTTTGTTGTTCGGCTAATTTTTCATTCATCAATTCTTGTTGTTTCTCCAATTTTTCATTCATCAATTTTTCTTGTTCGGCTATTTTTTCATTCATCGATCTTTCTTTTTCTGCCAATTGTTCTTCAGCTGATTTTCGTTGTTTTACTAAAAGTTCTTCAGCTGATTTTTTCTCTTCGAGTAATTTTTCTTTTTCTATTATTAGTTCTTGTAATAATTTTTCTTGTTTGGCTAATTTTTGTCCTTTTGATTCATTTTGGTTTTTTAATTCATCTATAGTTGATTGATCTTGTATGCAAATTCTATCTAGTTCGTCTAATTCTTGCTCCATTATTCTTTTTTGATCTTCTAATCGTTCTTCATGTATTTGTTGTTGTTCGGCCAATTGTTCATTCATCGATTCTTCTAGTTTGGCTATTCGTTCTTCGGCTAATTTTTTCTCTTGGGCTAATTTTTCGTCGGCTAATTCTTGTTGTCTGTCCAATTCTTTTTTGGTTTTATCTTTTTGTTCTTGTAATTGTTTTTCGGCCGATTGTCTTTGTTCTTCTAATTTTTCATCAAACAATTTTTGTTGTTTGGCCAAATTTTCATTCATCAATTTTTCTTGTTCGGCCAATTTTTCATTCATCGATTTTTCTAGTTCGGCTAATCGTTGTTCTGCTGATTTTTTCTCTTCGGCTATTTTTTCTTTTTCATTTTTTAGTTCTTGTATCAATGCTTCTTGTTGTTCTAATTTAATTGCTCTTAATTTTAGTAATTTTTCTAAGTCTTTTACAGTTGATTGTTCTTGTAAGCAAATTCCATCTATTTCGGCCATTTGGTCTTCCATTATTCTTTTTTGATCTTCATATCGTTTGTCAGCTATTCTTTGTTGTTCGGCAAATTTTTCATCCATCAATTCTTTTTGTTTGTCTAAATCCTCTTTGGCCAAATTTCGTTGTTCGGCTAATTGCTTTTCGGCTAATCTTTGCTGTTCGGCTAATTGTTCATCAAACGATTTTTGCTGTTCGGCTAATTTTTCATCAAACAATTTTTGTTGTGCGGCTAATTTTTCATCAGATAATTTTTTTTGTTTATCCATTTCTTCAATCTTTAATTGTTTTTCTTTGTCAAATTTTTCTTCCATCAATCTTTTTTCTTTGGCTAATTTTTCATCAAACAATTTTTGTTGTGCGGCTAATTTTTCATCATCTAATTGTTTTTGTTCATTCAATTTTTTATTCATGAATTCTTTTAGTTTGTCTATTTGTTCTTTGGCTAATTTTTGTTGTTTTTCGAATTCTTCTTTAGTTACTTGTTCTTGTTCGGACGATTTTCCTTCTGCGGCTAATTGTGCATTCATCGATCTTTTTTGTTCTTCTAATTGTTCTTCATATTTTGTTTGTTGTTCGGCCAATTTTTCATTAAACAATTCTTCTTGTTTCTCCAATTTTTCATTCATCAATTTGTCTTGTTGGGCTATTTTTTCATTCATCGATCTTTCTTGTTCTGCCAATTGTTCTTCAGCTGATTTTCGTTGTTTTACTAAAAGTTCATCAGCTGATTTTTTCTCTTCGACTAGTCTTTCTTTTTCTTTTATTAGTTCTTGTATTAATTTTTCTTGTTTGGCTAATTTTTGTCCTTTTAATTCATTTTGGTTTTTCAATTCTTCTATAGTTGATTGATCTTGTTTGCAAATTTTATCTAGTTCGTCTAATTCTTGCTCCATTATTCCTTTTTCTTTTTCTAATCGCTCTTCATATATTGCTTGTTGTTCGGCCAATTTTTCATTCATAAATTTTTCTTGTTTGTCAAATTGTGCTTTGGTTAATTTCTGTTGTTCGTCAAATTGTGCTTTGGCTAATCCCTGTTGTTTGACTAATTGTTCCTCGGCTAATCTTTGCTGTTCGGCTAAATTTTCATCAAACAATTTTTGTTGTGCGGCTAATTTTTCATTAAACAATTCTTCTTGTTTAGCCAATTTTTCATTAAACAATTCTTCTTGTTTAGCCAATTTATCATTCATCAATTTTTCTTGTTGGGCTAATCGTTCATCATCTAATCTTTGTTGGTCTTCTAATTGTTTTTCTGCTAATTTATGTTGCTCAACTAATCTTTCTTTTTCTTTAATTAGTTCTTGTATCAATTTTTCTTGTCTGGCAATTTTTTCGGCTAATTTTTGTTGTTTTTTGAATTCTTCTTCAGTTCCTTGTTTGGCTAATTGATCTATCATTAATCTTTTTTGTTCTTCAGCTTCTCTTTGTTGTTCAGCTAATTGTTCTGCAGCTTTTCTTTGTTGTTCGGCTAATTGTTCTTTGGCTGATGTCTGCTGTTCGTCTAATTGTTTTTTGGATAATATTTGCTGTTCGGCTAATTTGTCTTTGGCAAATTGTTGTATTTGTTCCAATTTTTCATTATACAATTTTGCTATATGGGCAATTTTTTTATTCATCAATTCATCTTTTTCAGCCAATTTTACATTCATCAATTTTACTTCGTCGTCGAATTGTTTTTTAGCTAAACTCTGTCGTTGCTCAAATTGTTCTTGAGCTATTCTTTGCTGTTCGACTAGTCTTTCTTTTTCTTGTAATAGTTGTTCTATTACATTTCGTTGTTTTTTGATTTCTGCTTTTGTTAATTGTTCTTGTCGAGATAATGTTTCTAGTCTGGCTAATTGTTCTTTGTTTAATCTTATTTGTTCTTCTAATAGTTTTTCAGATATTCTTTGTCGTTCGTCAAATTGTTTTTTGGCTAATCTCTGTTGTTCGGCTAATTGTTCATTGGCTAATCTTTGCTGTTTGGCTAATTGTTCATTGGTCAAATTTTGTTGTTCGGCTAATTTTTCATCAAACAATTTTTGTTGTGCGGCTAATTTTTCATTCATCAATTTTGCTTGTGCAGCCAATTTTTCATTCATCAATTTTTCTTGTTCGGCAAATCGTTTTTCAGCTGATCTTTGTTTCACTTCGAATTGTTCTTTAGCTAATCTTTGTTGTTCGGTTAGTCTTTCTTTTTCTTCTGTTAGTTTTTTTACTAATTTTTGTTGTCTGACCAATTTTCTTTTGTTCAATCTGTCGTTTTTTTCTAATTGTTTTTTAGTTAATTTTTCTTGTTTTGTCAATTTTTTTATGGACGAATTT